GACACGGCTGATGAGAAGCTAGAGGGAACAGGGGGGTAAGGGTGATAAAAAGGTATGGAAAGTGGGGCCTTGGGAAAAAGAGATAAGAGGGGTGTGAGAAACAGCTGGTAGAGGATAGGGGTACTCAACAAGAATTAAAGCTCGTAGCAACTGGAAAGTCTGAGAGACTGCCCAGGGCATCCTCTCCGCGTCCCATGCTTCTTGAGGCCTTCCTGCTGAGCGACTGGGTACTGCCAGCAAGTCACCCGGCCGGCAGGATGGCCCCGGAGGGTCATGGTTTGGGGGAGGGGTCACATTGACGCCACCCCCCCCTGGGCAGGTGACTAGGGCCGCTAGGGGAAGGCTGGACATATTCTGATGTGTTCACTTGATCTACGGATGTACTGTTGAACATACTTGCCAGGGATAAGTAACCGGACTGATGCCCCACAGAGGAGAACGGGCAGTGTGTTAAAAAAGGGGGGGGCGGGGGAAGCTTGCTCAAGACAGCAGCACCAACGTCCATTTTCTGAAGTTGTTTGTTTAGCTGCAACAGAAGTCTGCACAGCGTCATAGAAAAGCTAAGAGGTGTCCAGTTGATGCAGCTCAGTGGTTAGAGCACCGGTTGGAAATGCGCATTATGGTATGAGGTTGTGGGTTCAAAACTCCGCAGCCTCGCACATGGACACCGGCAGGGCGTTAGAATGATGCACGGCTGGACACACACTCCCCTGGGCTGACGCATGGTACTATTACAGACACTGCCTGCGGACCACCCAGGGGGTCAGTGGTCTAGTCTTCACTTTGGTTGCTGGTTGTTGTTGGCTTTGGTCGCTCTGATTATCTCCCCCAGTCCAGACATTACACACATTATATCAATTTCCCATGGTAGTACAAGTGGTAGAACCCTCCAGTGTCATACTGTAGGTCACAGGTTCAAGTCCGCTTCCGGACTTTGGGGGGGTCCTGTCCAGATAGACCTGTCTCTACCACATACACACACTCACGAGATACTACCCCAGATAGCATAATCCATATGCACATACTATACATATCCTGATGAGTCGGTGAAACTCCAACGAAACAGTTTGTCACAGCCCCTCGTTTGTTGTCCTCTTCTCCCTCTCTGCCTACGGTTTACCGGGCAGTTCTATTTGACGATATATATATATTAATGGATTATACCATCGATCGTTTTTTATAAATGCATCTTGATAGGAGCCCCATGTGAATCTAGAGAGACTAAGAAAAATTAGACTCCATACAAAATTGATAAAAATATTATTTAAAGAAGGGACTATAAATTGATAAGTTTTTAAAGCATCATATTGAATACGATTTCTTANACCCTCAACAGTCTGCAGAATCCCCTCACTGATTACACTGTAAATGATAATCTACCTTAACCAAAATCAAAGTAGACTATCACTCACCCACACCAGATGGAAAACTCTACAGATATATATATCGTCAAATAGATATACAGCTTAACGTACACACACACATACATGTAGTGGTGGAGGTGATGAAAGCACCTCTCACCAGTACTCAGTACTCACTTCGCAGATGCTCCATGGTGGGGAGCAGCATACAACCATACATATAGCCCACGGGCACACATCTAAGCTACAGAGTACGTACACACATACACAACTATAGGGTTGGCACATACACAACCATAGGGTTGGGAGGAGGTTACGATCAACCGATAATGATGATAAGCGTCTCGATGATAAGTACCTCACCTTAAAAATACAGCTAGGGTCTGTGGTGGGAGAGTAGAGGGCGCGAGTCACTGGTTGGTCTGCAGGGTTCTAACTGGTGATGATGATAGGCGTCTCGATGACAAGTACCCCAGATTAAATATACAGCTAGGTCTGTGGTGGGAGAGTAGAGGGCGTGCGTTACTGGTTGGTCAACTTAGGGGGCACACACATACACACATACACACAGGCACACACACGCACACACACACACACACACACACACACACACACACACACATACACACACACACACACACACAAATGGGCTGGGTGGAGGTCACAATTAACTGATAATGATGATAGGCGTCTTGATGACAAGTACCCCGCCTTAAATATACAGCTAGGGTCTGTGGTGGGAGAGTAGAGGGCGTGAGTCACTGGTTGGCTTGGTCGGCTCCAACTGGTGATGATGATAGACGTCTCGATGACAAGTACCCCGCATTAAATATACAGCTGGGTCTGTGGTGGGAGAGTAGAGGGTGTGAGTTACTAGTTGGTCAATTTAGGGGCCAATAGGTGATTGCTTGAGCCTGGCGTCCGAAGTACCCGTACGGCGAGGCTCGTTCAGCTATGCTTCAACCAGGGCTGGGTAGCTAGCCCTGGTACCTGTCACCACTGTTTGGTCCAAGTTCCCCTCGATACGTAGGGTGATGGTCCTGAGTGCTGGTCACACTGAGGTAGGATAGTAGGGATAGGGGATGCGCTAGGAGTTGCAAGGAAGATGAGCAATAGCGAAATTCAACAATCAAACAGCATCATACACATAAGACCAGATAGTCATGACCTCGAACCAATAGCAGAATTGCATCACGAGTTTCGCCAAATAAGAGTACACCAAAAGCTCATAATTGACAATGCCGGAAATGTCTCATCATCATCATCAACGAAGAACCAATGTTGATATCCTATCTGGCGCTCGGCGCCCAGACTACAGATGGCAGATCCTATCTAGCCTATACTACAATGCCGAAGATGACGACAACAGCTCTCCCGAAATACGAGCAGATAGCGGCCAATGCCGCACGCTTCCAGCACCAGGTATGTCTCTCGCATCACTCACAACCTCGTTCCCAACACACAAATGCCACATGCACCCAAGGACCATCGTGCGCCACACCCAGCTCACAGCAGCGCAGCTCGGCTATGGCTGCCTGCTCCTCCCAGCTCGCCCGTGAGCGCGTGAGCGCTAGCCAGCTTCAGCGCAGCAGCGCTTGCACAGCAAGCAGCCAGCACCCGAATGTCAATGCGGAGGCAGGCCCTTTGCTATATGGAAGTGGCCTGCCTGCTGCTGCGCTGGGCCTGTCCCAAGAAGCTTCCGGTAGGCCCCGGTAGGCTGAGGCCCAGTCCAAACGAATCAGGCCCAGGGCCTGTGGTGGTTACTTGTGGCCCAACTGTCCTCAGCCTGTGTTTGGCCCATATCCCGTATCCAGCCCAGGGCCTGCCTTCCATACATGCAAACAAGCGGCCTGGGCCTGGGTGCTCTTCAAACGACTGGTGCTGCGCAACTGCCTGAATTTTCCACAGTTGCGTGGTGACCGAAATAGGGGCCCTCAGGCCCTCGTCGAGCCTGCCTTCACTTAGGGCGGCCGACGTGCTGCGTAACAGAGGCAAAAAGGGGCTCATCGGGGCCTTGGCCTTGCAGAGTATTGACGTGAGGATGGGATGGGTGGTGGCCCCACCTCCTCAGAGCGACCATGGCTGACCGCTTCCGGCGATCAATGTGTGCCTAGTAACTGGCCTCTACAACATCATGGACTTCAAAAAAAAAAA